TTAAAATCCGATTTTTATCTAGACTAGGAACCACTGGGAGTATCTAAAATTACCATTAACCATATACTGCGAATACAATACGTTGCCCCTAACGAAACAAAAACATAAACAAGGAAACAAACATGATGTTAATAAGATACAGGCACACTTATCCTCGGGTGTGGTATAGAAGATAGCATTCTAGCCTGCGGATCGAGAGGTCCAGAGTTCGATCTCTGATACCCCTGAACACGTTCTGCACCTTCAGCTATGAGGAAGATATAAGAGTGAGACAGGCTTGTTTGACATTTGGTTGAAAGTCCTTGTGGCGGCGGATGATAGTCAATAATTCAAAGTCAGGGATGGTTATGACTGAATTAACGTCTAGAGTCATTGACCTGGTCATTTAACCCCCCAAACCAAGCCAAGTCTCCTCAGCTTAGCATTCCAGCCTCCATAATAGTCCCATAGTATGGATAGTAGAATAAAACTTAAAATGTCTAAGTCAATGATTACTACTATTAGAAAATAAAAAAAAGAATTTATTCTCTAAATTAGAGCATGAATACGGCTTTAACCTGTAGGCAAGTTCATTTTAATTCATAATTTTAGGATCTATCTAGCATCTGTTAATAAATTCTGTTGTAACATGTTTTTGTTTTTTTTACGTGTGCAATCAGCATTTCATCGAAAGTTTGTTTTTCAGTTATCGCCCCTCCCCTCAGTGGCACATTCTATGGACTTCTACTGCTAGAAACCCGGTTTCGATACCCATGGTGGACAAGGCATAAATAGGCCTTTGTGTAGCTTTGTGCTTATTAACAAACAACAACTTTTTCAGTAATCAAACGAATCCTTACAGAAGTTATAGATTAAAATTATCTCATATTTTACACAATTTTGTACAAATAATTTAGAAAAAAAGAAGCTAAATCAGCCGCAAAAAAGTTTTATTTAATACAGCTCATTTTTTAAAATCTCGTTAATTTTTTAGAAAAAAAAATTATTTTACAATTTTTTTTCATAATTCATGAAATTACCTATCATGGTCTATTCTTGATATGGTTATATAATCGGATTGTATGTTTTCTACCTTCTTGTATTAATATAAGAATTTTTCAAAATTTATTTATGCAGATATATATATATAGTTCCTACATAGCAAGGTTAAGTTGCTGTTGCTCTAGATACCTATTGTTCTGTGTCATACAGCTAGAGTAGCACTTTTTGTCTTTCCTTAGGAAATATAGATCAGAGGTAATAACCTCTTTTTATTGGAAATGACCAGTCACCTGGATAGCGTTAGTCGCTCTGAATAAGACTTATGTTAACAAGGTAGATAAGTAAAGTGAGATTTATTCAGTCTGAAGCAGGATCTCAGCAGAGTTAGGTTTGCATGCGACTGCATCTAAATTACTTAGAACGACTTCAAACCTAATTGTACAGTAAAGACGACTGTCTGTTGTGGCAAGTAAAGTACAATTTTCGCTGTGGTTATTTCAGTAATGAGTGCTTATTGTGATTGGAAATTTGTGTAAAGTCTTTCTTTATTTCTCGAGAACTTAGTTAGTTAGAAAATACAGAAATATTTCGCAGTAAATATCTTGATGATTCTTGTATTATTCAACAAACTTATCTTGTCACTTTTAAGGATTGGTTTAGTTTGTTTTCAATTTCGCGCAAAGCTACATGAGGGCTATCTGCGCTAGCCGTCCCTAATTTAGCAGTTAAAGACTACAGGGAAGGCAGCTAGTCACGCCGGGCCCATTTTTAAGGAGATTCATTGCTATCTGTGAATACCATGGATACATCCTTCATTTGATATGTCTTCCTCTTAGCGTTCATGCCCCCCAGTGGCACAGCGGTAT